AGCTGTGTGGTCCCCTTTCCCCTTGAGACACATTTCCTCTCCTGTGTTTGCAGGTTGCCTATGGGACCACAGAAAACAGCCCTGTCACCTTCATGGGGTTCCCCAATGACAGCATCGACCAGAAAACTGAGACAGTGGGATACATCATTCCCCACACAGAGGTGACCATGACCTTTCCCACGTGATCCAGGTGCTCTGCCAGCAGCAGACCTCACTCCATCCTCCCTGTCTGGTGCTGATGTCCAACTGAGCCCTTCTTCTCTTCCAGGCAAAAATTGAGGATCCAGAAACAGGGCAATCTGTGCCTCTGAACACTCCTGGGGAGCTTCAGATCCGTGGCTACTGCGTCATGCTGGGCTACTGGAATGACCCTGTCAAGACAAGTGAAGTGATCACTGCTGAGAGGTGGTACAAGACAGGGTGAGCCTGACAACTTCTCCCAGATGGTCCCACAGGGTGGCACTGGATGAGGATGCATGGGTGTGTATAGGAGTGCTTGGCTGGGATTTCCAAAGCAAAATGTCCCAGTTTATCCCTCTGATCTGTCTGTGACACTTCAGAACTGCTTTTAGCACAGAGCCCTTGGTGCTGAGTGTCCCTGCAGAGGGGATTGTCACTGGCCACTTGTGCCTGCAGGGATTGTGGGGGTACAGGGCAGGGCCAGCCATTGCCTCTCCCCTAAACCCTGGAGCTCGTGTGGATGCTGCCAGTTTCTGTAACAGGAGCTCTTTGATCTCTTCCATGTGCTCAGGTGGCATCTCAGCCATTATCCTGTGATACCACCCTGGCTGGGTGGGAGCATCAGCCATTCTTCCACCCAGCTGGGACAGGACTAGAAGGGTGTTCTCATTGCAGGGACATCGGGATCCTGAATGAGCATGGCTACTGTAAAATTATAGGGCGTTGCAAGGACATGATTATTCGGGGAGGAGAAAACATCTATCCAGCAGAACTTGAGCAGTTCCTCCACACCCATCCCAAGGTTGAGGAGGTCCAGGTGAGTGGGAGGAGGTGGGGTGGGTGAGAATCTCTTTTTGGGAATCCTGTACGTAAAGCTTCTGGGATTGCTGCTTGGAACCTGGTTGTCTTTCCCTGTTTTCAGCATCAAATTCCATGTAATATTGGTAAGCAAGGAGGGGGGAGAGGCTCATGGGATGGAAGGGGAATGGGGCATATGGATTGTGGCAACCCCCTTGTGTTCCAGCTGCATATCTGCAAAGTGCTTGTCATTCTTCAATTTTGAACTGCCTGTCCACTTCCATAACTCCCTCTGAAATTCTTACTCAGAAAGCAGTCTGGAAGGCCAGTTTTTAGTGATAATTGCTCAACTCTGACATCCAGGAAGACTCTTCCAACAAGCAAGCCCCTGGAGATGAGGAGTGAGACTTAGTTTAACTCCTTTGCAAGACAGCAAAGATTTCCAGGACTGAGCAGCTGCTCCCTGTCTGCTGGGATTGTTCTCCTTCAGGTTTTGTGCCAGACAAGTTTCCCCATAAATAAACTGCTTATTTAGTCAGAGTTCTGCCTGTGCCAGGCGATCATCTCTCTTTGGAATATTCCCAGTGCAGATGGGTTGCAAACCAGCCCTGTTTATGTGGTTTCTAGGGCTTTATGTCACTGCTCTGGACTCAAAAGGATCAACGTGTCTCTAGCAGTTGGAGATAGTGGTTCAAGGCAGGGAATGACAGTAGGATTCTTGTGGAATAGTGGGAGCAAACTTTGGAGAGAGCTCAGGCTTGGGAAGCCCATTTCCTGGTGTCACAGGCAGAGGCTCACTAAGATCTGTGATTATAAGGGTTTAAAATAATCCTTTAATTCAACCTCATCCCTCCCCTGCCATTCCATCTGGAGATCCCGAAGCACTCGTGGCAGCCTACCAAGTCTCCTTGTTGTTTGTGAAACCTCTTGCCCCATTTTTTTGGAAGCAGAGGGATGATGACAGGTCCATGTTGGATCTACAATGCTCCAGCACCTGTGGTATGGGGTCAGGAAACACACCGTGGGCCAGCACACAGACCCTGTGGGAGGCCAGGGACAGCCCCAAGGGTCACACTGTCCATCTGTCCTGACCAGGTGGTTGGTGTGAAGGATTCGAAGATGGGAGAAGAGATCTGTGCCTGCATCCGACTGCGGGCTGGGCAGGACTGCACCAAGGAAGAGATTAAAGCTTTCTGCAAAGGGAAGGTGGGTTCCCAGTCCTCAGTTTCCTTCCAGATCAGTACACCCAGTGGCTGCTGGGTGGATGAAAGCCCATGGATTTAGAGCGCTGCAGGACCCAGCCCTGGCAGTGCCAGGCTGTTCCTTTCAGGTGGTGTAGCCCTAGTTTTTCTCTTCCCAGATCTCGCATTTCAAGATCCCACGTTATGTTGTGTTTGTGAGCCAGTACCCACTCACTGTCTCAGGCAAGGTAAGAGGGGGCTGGGGCAGGGCAGGAACCCTGGCATTGTGTCCCAGCTCTTCTCTGAGTCTCTCTCCCTGCTCTCTTCCCTCTATTCCAGATTCAGAAATACAAGTTGAAGGAGCAGATGGAAAAGCACTTGCAGCTCTGAGATTGGGAAGACAGAGCAAAAAGCAGGATAAATCAGCCCCATTTCAGTCAGCTCTGAGTCTGGTTTTCACCTGTGCCTTGGGCCACGCCATGGAGACTTTCCCTGCCTGACATCAGGCGGATGGCACTTTTAGTCAATAAAACAAAGGGCCTTTCTTTTCCAGTTGGGCTTGTTTCTTTGCCAACAGAAATACTGTGGTGTGAGGAAGGGATGCTTATTTCTGGAATTTCGTTCAGTTCCTGAAAGACCTTATGAAGGTTTAAAAATGTTGTGTGTCTCTGAGCAGCTTGGCTGCAGCCATTTCACAGGAGTTGAACATGTGCTGGTGGGTATTTTACTAACACTCTTGAAGTCCAAATGCCCTGGCCTGGCTTCCCGGGATAGGTGATGCCTTTTCTCCTTGGATGTTGTGAGACTCCTGGGTCACTTAAGAGCAACTGAACTTGAAATGAGGGGCAGGGGTTTCAGAGAATGAGACTTTGCATTGGGGCTCTCTAAAACTAGCTGGGAAAGCTCACTCTGTTCCCACACCTTCCCCAGGTGTTTCCCAAAAAAAAAAAAACCTTCTCCAAGGTAGACATGGCTTTGTTTATTTTGTTGTTTTGGACAAGACAGAGAGTAAGGTTGTTGCAGAAATACCAAAATTCCTGTCCCATCGGCAGAGTGGAGTGTACCTGGGACAGCATTTTACGGGAGTTATTTGGTACCTCCCAACCATGAAACACTCCTGTGAGAAGAGGGATGGCAGAGCTCCTCTTTACCAGCAGAAGTGTCCCACCCCAGCTGGAAGGCAGATAATGTTGCTGCCCGTTCCCGCTGAGCTCCCGCTGTCTCCCTCCTGCTTCCTTCCCGAGCAGAGCTGAGGCTGGGCCCCCTCCATGCTGCGGCTTCCTCCAGCGGGTGGAGGGCAATGGTGCAGCAGGGAGAAAGAAGAAGCGTCAGCGAGGTCTCAGTCCTTCATCTCCCAGCTGGACTGTGGGCTCTACCCATGGAAGCAGACGGCGGGGCCATGTCCCCTGTCCACGTCTGCACTCTGGAAGACAAAAACATGGATGGTTTGTGTCAGACTCCTGTACACTGTCTTTGCAGCAATTCCTCTCCTGTTCCCACAGTACTCGTGGGGTTGGTTTCAGCACCAATCCTTGCACATTTCACTCAGGTCTCCTCCCTTCCCTGGTTACCTCTGTCACCTTCCTTCCTGAGGGAAGAACTGTTACCTGCCTGACAGCAACTGTAGTCAGGGACCTTGGGGACAAAGAGGGCCTCTGTGACTGATGTCTAGGGAAGGACTGTTTACCTTCTTCTGCTTCCCACAGCACTAACCCAGGTGCAGGACAGGCCTGCAGTGAGTGGAGCTTCTCCTCCCCTCCCTGATCAGTACTCCCACCCTTGGCACAACCCATGCCCTGCCCACAGGTGCCCCATGTACTCACTGTAGATGGGGAGCAGTGGATAGGAAGTGACAGTGCCACCAGCCCTGGCTGGTGAGGACAGACTAAGAAAGCCATGGGGTCCTGGTCACATCCAGCACAGGGGGAACAGTCCCTGCCACCCCACTCCTGCTCCTGTTCTGGGAGTGGGGCAGCACCATCCATGAGTATGAGCCCTGGCTGAGCCTGGTCCCAGGGAAGCCTTCCCTACCATCCCATGCCTTCTCCAGAGCACATCCAACCCTCGCCAGCCAGGACACCTTCCGCAGTACCCTCTGCCCCTTCCCAGCCCCTGGAATGATGCACCCCCGGCTGTAAATACTCACGGAAGAGGAGGAGGTAGCCGTTTTGTCTGCCAGGGCAGTCTCGGTGCGTGCAGTGCTCCAGGCTCGCTCTATGGCTTCTGCCCTGCCCGTGCCTGAGTTCCGCTCTTATAGTCCTCGCTGCCTGCTCGGAATTTCCCCGGAGAGGGAAGGTTACATCAGGGGTGGTTTACACCGAACTACACATTTCTGGCCTGGGAAAGGGAACCTGCATTCCCAGCTTTTGTCATGGGCATTTCAGAGTTCCTCGTTTCTATTAATAGTCACGAGGTTCGTCAGCTGCGGGCTTGCACGACCCTGAGTGGGGACAAGCCACCTTCCTCCGCCGAAACTCCGGAAAACCCTTCCCGGCCGCGAGGAGCAGGTCCCAAACCTCTTTCGGACCATGCGTGTGAGGAGGACACCGGGAGAGGACACCGGGGGAGGACACCGGGAGAGGACACTGGGGGAGGACACCGGGGGAGGACACTGGCCCTGGCATCCCCAGCACCGGGAGAGGACACTGACTCCTGCATTCCCGGCTCCGAGGGAGGACACTGCCCGCAGCACCCCCGTCATTCACAGCGAGCACCCCGCACACAGCCCCGTCGGGAGCGAAGGGCTTTGCCCCGATCCCTGCCCCGGGCCCCGCGCCCCGCCCCGGTCCCGCTCCCGGGGGCGGCGCCGCTCGGTGTCCGCGCGGGCGGGCGGTGCCGCGGGGCCATGGCGGCGGCGCGGGGCTGGCCGCGGAAGGTGGCGGCTGTCGCTGGGGCGCTGCCCGGCGGGGGAGGCCCGGGACGAGCACCGGGACCGGTCCCAGAAACGGCCGCCCCCGCCACAGCCGCGCTCTACGTGCACGTGAGCGGGGACACGGGAGGGACCCCGGGGCTTGCGGGGGTGCGGGGGAGTCACGGGTGTGCACACGTGGGGACACACGGGGGTCCTGGGGCTTGTACACCTTGAGGAGCACGAGGCTGGCGCGGGTGGAAGGTGGATGTGGCTCCTTGGGGCTCACATACACGTGGGTGCATGTGGGACACCGCGGCTTACACACATCGGGAAGCATTGGAACATGTCATGGGGCTAGAACTGAGGGGTCCCCGAGCCGTGCACATGAAGGGTCACACCTGTGGCTCGTGTGCCTTGTGGGGCATGTGGGGGGCACTGAGGTCCATGCACTGGGCTGGGGGTGTTCCCCCTCAAAACTGAGTGGCTGGGGGTGAGGGCATGGTCCCCACACGGCCCGTGCCCGCAGTGGCCCTACTGCCGCAAGCGCTGCTCCTACTGCAACTTCAACACGTTCGTGGTGCCGGCCGTGGACGAGGCGGCCGTGCGCGCCTGCCTGGTGCGGGAGGCACAGACCCTGCTCCGCCTCAGCCAGGTGCACAGGTGGGTGTTCGGGGTGGGCTCATGGAGTGCTGGGCCCTTCCGTGCCCACCTGCAGCTTCCCACCCTCTGCCCTACAGCGTCACCTCCGTCTTCTTCGGCGGGGGCACCCCCAGCCTGGCGAGCCCCGGCACTGTTGCGGCAGTGTTGGAGGCTGTGGCGGGGGCTGCCCACCTTCCTGCTGGTGCTGAGGTCACGCTGGAGGCCAACCCCAGCTCCACCAGCGCATCTGCCCTTGCCGGCTTCAGGGCAGCTGGGGTCAACCGCCTCTCCATCGGCGTCCAGGTGAGAGGGGCTCTCCCCTCCGCAGCCGCCGCAGCCCCCCGTGACCCCATTGTCACCCAGCCGCCCGTGACCCCATTGTCACCGTGCTCCCTCTGCAGTCGCTGGATGACGCCGAGCTGAGGATGCTGGGCCGGGAGCACACAGCGGCGGAGGCACGGAAGGCTGTGGAAGCAGCTCGGGGGCTCTTCCCTGGCCGAACCTCCATCGACCTCCTGTTTGGGTTGCCGGGACAGAGCCGGGACGCCTGGGCCGAGCGGCTGGAGGCGGCCCTGGGGCTCTGTGACGACCACATCTCCCTGTACCAGCTGACGCTGGAGCGGGGCACGGCGCTGGCAGCACAGGTCAGGGACGGGGCCCTGCCCGCACCCCCCCAGGATCTGCTGGCTGACATGTACCAGACTGCCCGGAATGTGCTGGTGGCCACCGGCTTCCGCCACTATGAGGTCTCCAATTTTGCACAGAAGGTGGGATGCCCCCCATGCTGTGTCCCGCAATGTTAGGCTGATCCCCCAGCAGGCTCAGCCGCTCTCCTCACCCCAGAACTCTTCCCCCCAGGGAGCCCTCAGCACCCACAACCTCTCGTACTGGCGGGCTGAGCAGTACATTGGTGTGGGGCCAGGTAAGGGGGTGATGGGGGGCCAGTGTGGGGGGGAACGTGTGGCCATGTGCCCTGTGAGCTCTGTTGTCCCCCTACCGGGCTGCTGCAGGGGCACATGGGCGCTTCGTGCTGCGGGGTGAGGGCGGCTGCCGCCGGGAAGCCCGTGTCCAGACCCTGGAGCCTGTCGCCTGGATGCGGGAGGTGCAGAGCCAGGGGCACGGCACCAGGAGTCGGGTGGTGCTGAGCCCGCTGGAGCAGTGAGTACTGGGGTCCCCCACCATGCCCCCTCCCTGTCTTGCTGCCCCACAGCTCTCTGTGTCCCCACAGGCTGGAGGAGCTGCTCACCCTGGGACTGCGCACGGATGAAGGCATCACACATGAGGTGAGGAGCCACCTGTGGGGACACCCCACATCGACCCAATGCTAATCATAGCATGGTTTGGATTGGGTGGTGCCTTAAAGCCCATCTCGTTCCACCTCCTGCCGTGGGCAGGGACATCTTCCACTAGAGCAGGCTGCTCTGAGACCTGTCAAACCTGGCCTTGAACATTTCTGGGGATGTGGCATCCACAGCTTCTCTGGGCAACCTGTGTCAGGGCCTCGCCACCCTCACAGGAGAATTTCTTCCCAATATCTAATCCAAATCTGCCCTTTCCATCCATCCCTTTTCCTGTCACTCCATTCCCTCTTCCAAAGCCCCTCTTCAGCTCTCCTGCAGCCCCTTTGGGCACTGGGATGCCGATTCCCCATCACTAACATCCTTCTCTTGCCCTGGGCACACAGCGCTGGGGGCACTTCTCCCCCCAGCTCAGCCTGCAGGCCGTGTTCGGGGAGCCGGGGGAGGCTCAGGCACTGCAGCAGCAGGGCTGGCTTGTCCTGGACAGTGGGTGAGCCCCGGGGAGCTGTGGGCAGGGCCGGGGGGCTCCCTGGGGCACCGGCTCTCACCATCGCCTCTTTCCCAGCGGCCTGCGGTGCACCTGGGCCGGCCTGGCCGTGCTGGACTCGCTGCTGCCCGACCTGCTCTGGCAGCTGCAGCGGCTGCTGGCCGCTGCCCAGGGCCCACCGAGGGGGACCCCGGCGGAGGAACGAGCAGGTGGCGGGGGCGCGAGGGCCACAATGGATAATAATGACTAATAAACCACAGGAGCAGTGTGCTGGCTGAGGGTGTTGGGGCAGGGGCGCTGGTCGGCGGGAGGTGTTACTGCACGGTAGGCCCCTGTATCCCGGTGTTCCGGGTGTCCTGAGGCCCAGTGTCCCGGCGCCCTGGTGTTCCTAGTCGCCCAGAGTTCCGTGTCCCCGGTGTCCCGAAGCCCCAGTATCCTCAATGTCCCGGTATCCCGCTGTCCCGTTGTCCCCGGCCGTGTCGCAGCAATACGGCGCATGCGCCTGGCGCGCCCCGCCCGGTTGAGCGGTGCCGCGGAGCGCCAGCAGGGGGCGGTGCGCCGCGCGGCCTGTCGCGGCCTGTCGCTCCCTGTCGCTCCCTGTCGCGGCCTGTCGTTCCCTGTCGCTCCTTGTCGTTCCCTGTCGCGGCCTGCGGCGGGGCCGGGCCCGGGGCCGGTGGCAGGGACATGGCGTCGCGGCGGGGGAGTCGGTCTCGGAACCGGAGTCCTCCTGGTACGGCCGGGAGCAGGGCGCGGCTCGGCAGCGGGCGGCCCGGCCACGCCAGGCCGGGCCGGGTCTGAGGCCTCGGCGGGGCCGCGGTGGAAGCGGCCGGAGCCAGCTCCTTCCCCAGCCAGTGTCCTCCTGTCATTAGTGTGATTTTCTGTTTTTAAAAGCAGCAGGTTCCGCAGGTTGAGGGGGAGCGGTCCCTGGTGGGATCCCCCGAGGTTGGCCTCGCCCGCAGGTGCCGGCGGAGCTGCCCCGCGCCCGGCTCTGCCCGGGTTTGGTGTTTCAGAGCTGTTGTGCCACTGAGCAGCTTTTGAAACCCAGTGCTTTGTTATCCGAGTCGTGCTGGGTGAGCGCAGGCAATCTGTGTGCAGATTGTACTTGCAGCTGGAGCTGGAAACTTCCCAGGAATGTGTTGTTCCACCTGCAGGGATCTGTATTTATTTGCATTTATCTTACCGTTGTCTTTCATCTGAATAAAGTGAGACAGTTCGCTCTTACTTGACCCACTTTGGTCTTTGCAGCTTCTCAGAGGTTCATTCTTTCAATTACAAGAAATGCTGAATTGAATTGTTCGTTGCAACCTTAAAGAGAAATAATCCCAAAGCATAGTTCAGCTGGAAATCATTAACCAGCCTGAGAGGAATATGGTTCTTTTTGTGAGACTGAAGAAGTCTCTTCATCTGTTTTTTAGGCAAGAAGGAAAAGTCTTTTGAACGACCCTCTTTAACAATGGAAGAGCCTGAGCCTGAGCCTGTTCCATATGTTCTCCAACGACAAGACTTCCAGGCACTTGAAATTAAAGAGGAGGACCTGGAGAAAGTATGGATGAGTATTTTTACTTCTAGAAACAGCTGCCTTAACTGACACTCTCCGTTTAACAGAGGGTGCTGCCCATTTGCTTTAGCCAAAACTCACTCCTGCAGCTCAGTTCTCATGCCATTTTGTCTGTCAGGTTTTTTATCATAAGATGTCAGCTCATCAGGTTCAGTTGCTAAACATAAAGGACTATAAGTACCTATACAGTCCTTTCAAATGGAAGGATAAGTCATCTGCATCTTCAAAATTACATCTTCAACTTTCTGATCTAATAAGACTTGTAAGTTGTTTAGTAGCTCTCATGGCTTTCCTTCCAAAACTCAGATCACAGTGTGTGAGTGGAAGCTTTTGAGTGACACAGCAGCAGAATTCTCTTGTGGAAAGAGATTTAAAACTCTCCTTTTGTGCCCCTGTTACAAACCAAGAGGAGTAAGACAGTAACTGCATTGGTATCTGCACAGCTGTGTAAGGTGTCTTGTAGGGGAAGAATCATAGAAGATTATAAACCAAGAGGAGTAAGACAGTAGCTGCGTTGGTATCTGCACAGCTGTGTAAGGTGTCTTGGAGGGGAAGAATCATAGAAAGTTTTGGAAAGTTTGTTTTGGAAAGAACCTTAAAACTCATCTATTTCCCCCCCTCTGCCATGGGCAGGGACACCTTCTACTATCCCAGTTTGTTCCAATCCCCATCCACCCTGGCCTTGGACACTCCAGGGATGGGGCAGCCACAGCTTCTCTGGGCACCCTGTGCCAGGGCCTCACTACCTTCACAGGGAAGAATTTCTCCTAATGTGTAATCTCAACCTACTCTTCTATGTTGAATCCATTCCCATTCCATTCCATGTCCATGTGAAAATTCCCTATCCAGGACTCACAGGGCCCTTACAGGAAGTGTACTGATATGACTCCTGTGCATATTCTAAAAGGATCAGATGGAATAAAGGTCAGTGTGTACTAACTGCACTGTGGCTGTTTACTTCCTGAAGCTCCATGCTCCATGCCTTGCCTATGGTGCTGGGAGAATTCCAGTTCGGAGGAATTACCTTGTCCGAAAATACCGACCCAAGGAGGTGGCACATCTCGTGGCACATCCTGTTCCCCCCAAGGCACCCAGAGGACCACTGACTTTTCCTGGTAGGCTTCAACTTCACATCTTACCTCTGGGTTTTGGTTTTGCTTAGCCAAACTTCAGTGACCTGGCTCTGGGGTTGGCTATTTTTATATGTGTGTTGTAGGACCAAGACAGTTTGATGATGGCTGTGAAGGGATCCTCCCTCATCACATTTTGGGAAGTCTCCAGGAGTTAAAGATGGAAGCCTTGGCCAAAAGAAACACTCAGGTTCGTTTGCAGAGTTGGGAAAATGGTGCTGCATAGCACTTTTCTAGAGGTAGAGTGTGGTGCCTGCAGTACCTTTCGATGCTTTCCAGCACCTATCAGGAGCAGGGCAGGCCTGAGGTGTGGTTTTCCCAGCCTCGTCACACTTTGGGGGAGGGGTTGCCTTTGGAGAAACTGCACCAGCAGGTTTTTGGAGTCCTGTGTGCAGGACCAGGTCATGGAGGGAACAATTACACAGGCTTCCTCTTCCCTATGTGCCCTGCTGATGGTGTCAGGGAAGAGCTGGTGTTGCAGCAATGCCATTGCTGGAGTCTCATTACTCAGATAAATACTTCCATTGTATCTGAGTGTGTCCCCACTGCCCTGGTTTCCTTCCTCTCAGATTGCTAATGTAACAGTGCTGTCAATCTGAAGAATTCTTCTCTCCTCCACTCTCCCATTCCTGTTTTGGTGTGCATGGAGAGGTTCATTTAATGTTTCATTTCTCATCAGCTAGCAGATGCTATTAAGGTTCCTCATCCAGATGTTACTGCAGCAGCTTTAGAAGAGGAACATGGAGAAGAGAAGAAAGAAAAGTCACATCAGGCCCAACTAGCAGAGCACAAAGCTTTCCAGAACTGGAGCCATCATATGGCAATGAGGAAAAAGCAGGAGAAACACCTAGGAGGTGAGAAAAGCTAAGGAGGTCTCATTCTGTGAAATTCTGTGTGCAGGTGGAGGAGTTTGATGTCCCCACCCCAAATCGCAGCAGTCACTGCCCACCAGGGTTAATCCTATTGCCATTGCAGTCTGAGTCCATGTTCTCAGAGCTCCCACACTGCTCATGGTGTTGGCTCTGGATGTGGTGGGAGGGTGAGCTGGTGGCTGTGGTTGAGGAGAGGGCAGTGGATTTGGCAGGGAACAGTGTAAGTGGGTTACAGGTGAACAATAACAGTGGCAAAGGGTGTGCCCAGAAGCGCAGCACCAATGATGTGATGTTTTTTATTTACAGAAATTCTTCACAAGCCAGAGAATGAACTGCTGATGAACATGTCAGACAATTACAGGCAAATCCAGGAAGAACGTGACCTCATTGACCGGAGTCTCCCTGCCCTATTTCCTGGAAAGGTGAGAGCCCCACTTCTCGTGTGTCCTGATTGTGCTGCTCTTGCGACAAAGCACAGACACTGTTCTAAGTAAGTCTCTGAAGTGCTGTCAGGAGATGTTTATCAAAGCCACTCAGCTTGGTGTCTGAGCAGAGCTTTCAGGGACATGAAAAATAAAAACCTGAATTGTGCTATCCATACCAGCTAGGGGAAAGTGGTGATGAGCAAGTGGCATTTCTTGATTCTCACCAAAGACTTTTGTGCCCTGGGAAGTGGCATGGGAACATGTCACAATTGCTGTTCCAGGGGCAGAAAGATCTGGTAGCTTCAGGCTTGGATTTTAGTGATTGCCATGGAGAAAAGGGCATGGGTAAGGCAGGAGGGCTATGGGAGTATCATGTTAAAATTATTTTTTCACATTTATAGCACTATGAAAGAATTTGCATTTGTGTGAGGCTTTATTTTAATAACACTCAACCTTCACGTGCACTAGGTAGAAGAAAGTTCTTTTGCCTGATAGAAATTTTGGCTTCCTCTGCAGAAATGGATAATTCATAGACTTTTAAAATGCTCATATAGTCAGGGTTAGACCTCTTCATTTTAGCTTCAGGTGCCTCTGAAAATAGCAGGTAGCTGCACAACTATCCACAACAATCAGTGGGAGCCTTGTTTCCCACCCTAGGGATACCGAGTGGGAAGTGAGTTCTGGAGCCTTCCTGAGCAAATTGGGGATGATCTCACCGGGCTGACTCTGACCCTGACCCGGACAGAACGTGGGCACCCAGAACCACTCACTCATGTGGGGAAGCCCCGAACCATCCAGAGGGAAACAGGTAAGGGAACACTGCAGAGAGGTGATTCCAAAGAAATGGGGCACAAGTGTGGAGAAACAGCTCCTTCCCTGTTGAGCCTCCACTTTAAACCACTACAAGGCCAAAGTTTGGCAGAGAATGAAATTTGATTAGGCATGTGGGTGTGTAGAGAGTGAGCTCTTGTATTGGTATTTCCACAGGTCTGAAGCCTCCAAAGAAGATTCCTTACCACGTAAACTGGGATAAGAGTCTTTTCCTGAAACATCGACGGCAGGAGCTAAAATCTCTCCTAGAGGAGCTGGGCTTTTATAAGCCGGTAAGACCAGAGGAACAAGGACATTCTTTGTGTCTCTTGTCAGGTGCTGTAGAGTAACAAAATTGTCAGGAGTTGGATCTGAAAAAAGCATTAGGTAACTAAAACTTGGTCTCAGAGTGTTTTTCGTGGAAGTTCCCACATTTCCAAAGGGCCACACCTATGAAAGAGTTGTCTGACCTCCTGAAGTGCTGCATGGAGTGATCTAGGGGCCTCAGAAGAGATCCCAAACCAGCAGCATGCAGCTTCCAGGACTTAGGCAAAGAAAAACCTGCCAAGTACTGGTGCAGAACTTTGATTTAGTGCTGTGGGCCAGAGGGAAGAGATCTTTACCCATGGGGAAGACACACTGAAATAATCTCCTGAAGGCAGGTGGCCCCTCCTCCTACAAACAGAGCAAACCTCACTTTTTTTGTCTTTGAAACCTGTCTCTGAGGATGAGAAACATGTGAAGGACATTGCTAGTGGGGGATACAGTCATCTAGGAGTCTTGGGAATCTCAGAATTTGGTTCTTTCCCATGTCCCTTGAGCATTCTTCAAATGCCTCTAAAAGCCATTGTAGAAGCAAGATATCACAACTTCACTTTACTTGGCTGAGTTGGTGCATTTGTCTGGTGTTTTAATGTCCTTTCTATGTAAAAGAGCAACTGTGAGTTGGTAATTTCTGTGTGTGTCCAGGATCTGGAAGGACTGGAGGTGATTGGGAAAGGGCAGCCTTTCACATCTGTCTCAGCTGAGGCTTTTCTACATACCACCATTTCTGAAGAGATTGAGATCCTGTAAGTTCTACTTCATAGCATACTTCATGACAAAATAAAGAGTTTTGGGTGTGCACCACCAGTCTGTGAGGATATCCTTAGCTGTTCTTATCCAGGATGGAGAAAGTCTCCACTGGGACACAATAAAAAGCATATTCTTATATTATAATCACCAGATCTAGGTGCCTTTGTGCCTTGGGGCCTTGTGTCTAAGGAGCAAGAATCAGAGAAGAGTTTTGTTGAGGTTCTTCTTCCAGTCTTCACTCTGTGCAGCTTCAGAGCTTAGATCAGGCAGGGTGGGATTTACTCTCAATTACTTCAATTTGATTATGTTTTTCTAGCTTTCCATCATTACTTTCCTAGTTTTCCCTGTCCTGTCCATTTGTAACAGGCACACCCTAAGGGCTTCTTGTCCTTTTTCACTCATGTACTTAGACAGGTCTCATTCTTTAATATTCTGGCTGTCCTGTCCTCCTTGCCAGTGACATGTAGCTAGATGGGTTCACCACATCTGCAGGGCTCTGTCCCTAAAGAGATTACTGTGTGAGAAAATATTAAATGGGGTTATTTCTTACAGGGTCTTGTAAATCACCCCTGGTTCTCCCCTCTCTGGAAGTGAATTTCACTCCATGAAAATGCTGGCTTTTGTTTTCTTTAGGAGTGACCCCTTAGGTGACTCCTTCACTGTGGTTCCAGAAGCTGAAAAGGTTCCATCTTTAGTTTTCTGTGGCCAGCCTGCTCGTTGGATCAAGGGCATCACTGCTTGCAGGGTAATTGTGAGATTTTAATTGTTTAGTCAAACTAAGCCTATTTGAGCTCCCAAGTCACAGTTGTACAATAAGTGTCACTCCAAGGCCAGAGAATGGAGGACTTATTCTGAACACAGTAGTGTATCCTTATGTTTGCTCCAGAGAGATCTAGGAACAGAAGGGCTCTGGTTGTGGTGTGTGGTTCAGATTCCTAGGCTTTCTCTGTATAATGGCCACTTCTTTGGACTTGCCTTACAAGTTCCACCAAGGCTCAACCCCTTATTTGAGCTATGATTTCATGCAAGATAAATCCTACCAGATAGAGTAGAAATTGTTATCTTTTTCCTCTTCCTTGTAGGAGGAAATTGGTATTGCTGCCCGGCTCACCTTTGAGACTCTGGCTAGTGAGAAGGCTGAAAGCTTCCTGACAGTGACCAATGATGGCATAGCTTCCATTTGGTACAACTGGATGAGGCTTCCCCAGCAGATCCCCTCCAGAGAAACCAAGGGGAGGAGAGGGCCCTGCTTTTACTTTGATACCAGACCAGGTATGAGACCTGCTGGTCTCCAAGACCTTTGTACCTCAAACATAGAGCAGGAATTTGGGAGTTGCCTGGGATGTGGAGTCTGACTAATGGCAGAGCACTGCTGGGTGATTTCTCCTGAGGAAGCCAACCTGAGTGTCAGTGCTGACTCATCCCAAAAGAGCTGTGCAAGGCAGATCCCTCTCCTGGAACTTAAAGGAAAGGAGGTTACTTCTGCTCTGAGTGTAAATGGGTGGAATATTGAGAAGTGAATAATTTTCTGGTGGCAAACGGGTCATAATCTTCTGGAGAGAAAACTGAGCTTGCTGTAGGAGAGTGCAATGAAAATAATGCCAGTTCAGGAACATAGGGTCTGGAAGGAGAATGAACTTGCATAGCTGGATGAAGTGTGATAACCAGCTAAACTGTGGGGAAAGAGTCTCCTAGAGAGATAAGGACACTTGGGGTGGTGTTGGAAAAGGGTCAGGCTAACCAGGTGCCTTCTTGCACACCAATGCATTTTCTCTCTTATTTCAGGTGTAATTTTGCCTGGAGAAACTCGGACGTTTTCTTTTATTTTCAAGTCAGAGAGAGCAGGCATTTTCAGTGAACCCTGGGAATTTAGGACACATCCTCTGTTATTAGGAGGAGCTCTGCTTCAGGTGACCCTTTGGGGAATTGCTGTGTATGAGGATAAACTGGCTGACTTCAGAGAGAAATTGGAGGTAACCAAGCATGTAGCTGGGTAACTGAGCTTTGAACTTTATATGCAAATAGAGGATAAGGGTGGGAGTGGACAACATGGTATTTTTATTGTTGTGCAATCATTGCTGAGAGTGAGACTTACAGAATATCTGCACAAACTTGAGCAGGTTTGCTAAATGACATGAGGAACTCTACAGTCTATTGTAATGTTGTTACTAAAGACATGACTGTGTCTCCTAAGTGTTCACACTGGTCCTTTAAAGAATTAAATTTCTGTTGGTAATTAATTTCATTATTTACTTAGTGGGAAGGAGATTGACTGCTGTACACTATGATAGCAGTTAAGGTATAAATTGAAAATTACACTATGCTTTGAAAAGTATAGTTTGGGGGCAGGATTTGTAGAGTTTATTTGAAAAGCTGTTGGAAGTATTGCTCTGCTCAGCGGGGTTTGCAGTTGTTCATGTCCTTGTAACTCTGTATAATGAATAGTGTGGTTACAGGTGGGATTGAGTTTGTGTGTTTGCATAGGGAATGGGGACTCACACATGTTGTTCTTGTTGTGGTGCCTCAGAATGAGCTGGCTGCTCGAGAAGGTGCTTCTATAGTGAAAGAAAGCCTGAACGAACTTCTTGACCAAATTCGGACCCCCGAATGCACCCCATCTCCTGTGGATGCCTGTGTCACAGAGGAAGAGCTGTTCCACAGGAAAAATCCCGAGGTGATGTTTGCTATTGGATGGACTGCACAGCTGAAATAAGTGGGGAGGGCAGACCCATGGGGCTGCTGTGTCCCTGGGATTCTGGAGCTGGCAGAATCTGCCATGGGGCTTTAACAGTTGGGTTTGAAGAGGGAAGGTGCAGCTCATGTTTACCTTTTCCCCCATTGTCACAGTTGCATTATCAACATCAAGTGATAAAGCAGCTGCATAAACTATGGAGACAGCACCTGACTGTGCCTTCAGGCTTGGAGGAGGAAGTGCCCTTGGACCAGAGGAGCACTGCAGAAGGCATGGAGTACCAGAAGAGCACCTTGGAGCCTCCCTCTGTCCGGAGCAGCACTACTGAGCCCCCACGTGGGAAGTACGCATTACAGGATGCTCCAAGGGAAAAGAGCACTGAGGAGGAAGAAGCAGGTCCTTCAGGATGGAACCTTTCCATTGAGGACTTTAAACAGGTGGTTACCTCTGTTCCCACAAGCTGATGGTGTGTTAATTCCCCTACAAACAGCCCAGCCTGCCCCAGTGTGAGCCCACCTAAAGGGCTGCTGCCAATCTGCTGGGAGTTTGCGAGATTTACGATGTGTGTTGGCTCTGCTGACCACACCCTCAGTGCTCTTGTAAAGAGATTCCCAAGAGAGGCTTTGTGGGCTGTTGTGTGAAGAAGAAAAGAGAAGCACACAATATAATAGATATTTTAAGCTCTTCCCCTGTTAGCTTTCTGTCATCCCAGGACTGAATGTGGGGGCAGGCTGGGCTTACAGCCTCCTGTGGCTCCCCCAAGGGCTCTTCTCCTTGGAGAGCCCTTCCTATTCATCAGAGAACTAAGGGGGCACTCATGGCAGGCTGTGGATAAAGTACAGACCTCCTTAGATTAAAGCAAGAGTGCTTTGGATTCTGTCAGTGGTTTTTCTGTAGTGCTCTCTTGGAAATCTCTCTGTTGTTTTTATAACTGAGCTTTACTAGGGAGACTTCTAGCTTGATAGAATCCCTGTTTCCCAGAACACCTGAAGTTGCAAAGGGGCTTAGTATCGGTCTGATGAGGGAATCTGGGTTTGTTATGCAGATCTTGGGTACCTTGGACATATCCTAGCTGTGTAGGAAGCCCCATCTGGGTATGTAAGTGCCCAGTGCAGCCTGGTTTCAGACTGGTGTCCAGGAAGAGAGCTGTGGGCTGCTCCACTGAGCTCAGGGACTGGGAATAAGACTGAGAAGTGTTCCACAGCTCCTGTGAATTTTCTCTCACAGGCTATAATGTCAATCTCTGGGGAGGAGCAGCGGGAAGAAGCACTGACCCAGCTCAATAAGGCAGCTCTGGAGCTGTGTGTTGAACAGAGGCCCACTCAGTCAGACCTTCTGTATCCACTCTGGTGGGTTACCTTTGCAAAGAAAAGCTTGTGAAAAGATTGTGTGATCAACAGCCTCAGCAAGCTCTCTTGCAAGTGTTGTGATTCAGAGTGCACATAATTATATGAGGTCTAGAAGTCATCTTTACACTCTGGTTTTTTATAGCTTAATTGTAGCAGCTGTCTAGGACCCAAATGTCTTTTTTTTTTTTTTTTTCCTGGAGATAAGTTTAGAATATTAAATGTATGTAATTTTGGAGAGTGCACAAGATTATTTCTGGCAAGATTATTCCAGTCTGTATTTATGAAACCTTTGGGTATTTTCTGTACCCTTTTACTCAGATAACTGTCTCCTCCCTCATACAGTCTCTCTGTTCTTTGCTCAGGCTTTCAGACTGTAAACATATCAACAGCTTTGAGCTGGTTCTAAATTAGAAGGATGCAGGTTCCTCTTGGTAAACACAGAGCAGGTTGATTTACCAACGTGTGTCATGTTGAAGAGCAGACCTAGTTTCACAGTAATGTTTATGGATTCCTGGGAGCCTGTTGATTTGCAAACCATTGAGACCTCGGAGGGCTCTAACATGAGGAAAGCAATTTAGCATCCCCCTGCACGGATATTCAGGCAGTGGGTGCTGTTTTGTTAGTTTAGTTGCACAGGGCAGCTGTCAGCTATAAGTGCCTTCACTTCTGGGCACAGGGTCAAACAAGGTGGCATTTGCTGCACTGTCTCCCTTCTGATCCTGACCATTTTCTCAGCCTCCAGCTGTGGCGTGGAGCAATTGATGACTTGGTGTGTCACTCTCTGAGGCTGAGATCTGTGCTTGGTTTGATTAAGAAGGACGCCTATGCAGAAACAGGTAAATGGTAGTTTTAGCACAGCAACTGCTTTCTGTGGCCTGTTGGAGATACAAAAAACCATGATGAATTTGAACTGTCAATTTCAACATGTCTCCCTGAGGAAGAAGCATCAGGAAAAAAACTGGCAGATTGTGTGACAGTAACAATACTAGTTGGGATCTGTGGTTTGACATCAGCAAAAAAACATCCCCACAAAAAAAACCTTTTAATTCAGCTAGGTCTAGCAATGGTTTTCACACAGACTGACCCAGCAAATACTGCCTCAATGAGACCTCTTCATTCCTTATTTAAACAAAGAAGTCTTCAAGGTATTGTTTTTCAGTGCAGTACATCTCAGATTAATAAAAAGAGGAGAATATACTGCAAAAGTAACACATTCCCACTGTGCTAGTGCAGTGGGATGGATTTTCTGGATGTGTGGATGCTTTTGGTTAATTGAAATCCTTTCTTTTGTAGAGGAAGTAAAGCAAGGAGGAGCAAAAAAAGGAGGAAGGGAAGACAAAGTATTTGCTAAGAAAGAAGAGAAAAAGGATAAAGAAGGCAAAAAAAGTAGAGGGACATCAGGGAAGGAGAAGGTGGTAGGTGTTGGGATGTCTGGTGAACCCTGAGTGCTGGGGACAGTGTGATCATCCTGAGGTTGTGTATCCTGAGTTTGAGCTCATTTCCAACCCCGTGAAAGTGGTGCTGCTGCTGGGAGATGGATCTTGAAGCAGTCTGAGCAGTGTCCTGACCTGTGTCCGTTTTTCCCTTGGTCTGTCCCTGATTAGGATCATTCAGGCAGCAGAAAGCTGAAAGGTTCCATTTCTGTGCACGATATGAAAGGGGGAGCAGAGTCCATCAAAGGAAGAGGTGAGAAGCAGAAGGTGAAAGAGGAAGCTGCAACTACAGTTGGGGCAGAACCTGTTCAGGAGGACTCTATTTTACTTGCAAGATACCGGGAAAAGCTCTACACTGAAGTGAGTCTCACCAAAGCTTGTATCATTGTCTTGGTTTTGTTCTTTTCTTGTAAGGCACACTGAGGCTTAGGGGGAGAAGCAAACATTTTGTTATACTCAGAAAACTGGCAGACATATGTCCCTTGTGCTGCAGCAAGGTAAGTGTGAAATCCAAATTAATTTGTTTCAGCCTGGAATCTGTTAGCAGAAATCCAGCCATCACATAGCCACATGCGGGACTTCTATCTGGGATGTCTTTAGCATTGCTTGCAGACTCTGGAGGGATCAGCTGAATTAATTTTACCTTGGATAATGTTAAACACACTTCATAGCCGGGGAAGTTATTACTAGAGCTCTGTCAGCAGCAGGCTCCCATTTCTATGTGGTTGTGTGTGTGCCCATATGAAAATGTACCTCAGAAACCATCTCTGTCAATCTCAGCCTCAGAATTTCCTCACGTATTTTCACTGCAGCTGCCTTTGAATTTCTGCAGGTTTACAGGCTGCTGGATTCAATGGTGAGCAAAATGGTGTCTTTATTTGAGGATCTGAAGCACTAACATGCTCTGAAGTGGGAGTGAAGCCCTTTGTATGTAGAAATAGACTTGCTTTAAAAAAAATACAATAAATAACCATATTTACACAGATGGAGTGGAGATTCTTCTTTCTCAAGTGATTCAGTGGTTACAAATACTGGGCTGCCTCTTTTCTGACACACTGTGATGTGAGACTATTGCTAGATCATCTGTTACTGCTACAGATGATGCTTGCCAAGAAGAGACAAGGCAAGAAGGATCACCACTTCAGAAAACATTAAGACTGGAAAATACTGGTATTTCTGCTAAAGGAGAATTTAAAAGTGCTAGTTAACATGAGGTATATTCTTTGTGTCTTGATTGTGCTTTGCTAGCAGATGAGTGAGCAGGATGTACTTGTACTCATGAATACTGGTACCAGGAGAGCAGACAAATCCATCCTGGGTTTTATCATATTTTTGGCATCTTGTCCAGTCTCGCCTTGGGACTTGCTGACAGGAGGCTTCTCTGAGGCATTCTGGATCCCAGTAAAAACACTGTCCCAAGGGATTTGCCACCCTGCCTGGTTTTGCACTCACAGATTTCCTTCTTGTGCTGATCTTGCCATCTCTTTCCATTGAGCTCCAGGTACCCACGCCCCATTCTGAGCCAGGTTTTACATTCTTCCTTCTAAGACTAATCACTCTTAAATGAGTGAAATTTGTGCTATAAAAGTTGTGAGCCATGCTAAGTCCTCATGTTAGAGCCACCCCTCCTGTCTGTCCATCTGCCTGTGTGTCTGGGCTCATCACCATTTTCCATTTGTGCATCACTGCTGGAATGGGGCTTTCTGTGGAGGCATCCCAGGCCTGAGTGTGGCACATTGGACTTGAAACAGGTTCTCGAGGCAGAGTGAGCTCTGTGTGGGGTCTGTCTTGGCCTGGTGTCACTAAGTGCCACCTTCCTGCTAAAGTAGCTGGACAGCATTCCCCAGAAAGGCTTTGGCCCTGTAGAGCAGTGACATCAGTGTAGATCATTAATTGGGGATGGTGATCCCACTGGAGTTCTTAAGCAGCAGATGCCTATCCATGCTCAGCATAGCTCAGCCATGAGCTCAGTGGCTCCAGGTGTGCCCCTTGGGCACATGCCCCTGTCCCTGGGCTAGCACACAGCTTGCAGCTGCACATGTAGTGTGAAATCACTGCTCCTTCTGCTGCATTGGTGTCTTCTGCTTTCTCATTTTAACTCCTGTGCTGTCCCTGGGGAGAGGATCTATTTCTCCTCTTGGCTCCAAGCAATACCATGGCAAAGCACAGCTTGTTTTTTTCACTGGCCAGGTGAGGCTCCTCATCTTTTGAGATGTTTTCTCATGGTGGGGTGTGGGGAGGCATTTTGGCTTCTGTAGCAGCAGGAGCCTCCTCTGGCTCAGTGGGCACAGACCCACAAAGGGAATGTCTCTGCTCAGCATTCCTGGAGTGAGAATTTCAGCAACATTTTGAGAATTAGGAGGAAAAAGGCCTGAAGTTGGGGTGTGTCTCACAGGCTCTGACAATAGCTCCTGCCTCCCTGGAGATGATTATCAGCTTTGTGAATTTGCCCAACTCAAACTGCTCAAGCCATCTGTTTCTAGGAGAGAGGGAGTCTGCATGTTCTAGAGGCAACGTGATTGTCAGAGAGGCAGGAATCCTTTCATTTGGTAGTTTTACCTTAAAGGATGGCGAAGCCCATCCATGTCTCCATGGATCCATATCTGCAGTCGATTGAAACCAGGCTCCATGTGTTCATCTACCCACTGGAAAATCTGTTAATACAACACGGGGTAGATGAAAGTTTTACATCAGTCACGTACAATGGAAGAATGTCCTGTGCTGGCATCTTCCCTTCCAGGGAGGAGACTGGTAGCAGAGGGCAGGTGGGCGGCATAAAAGTTCTGCAAAGGAGAACAAACCTGTGAATCGTCTAATTTCTTGTCATAATTTTTTGTCATAAATATTGCCAGTGCCTCTTCCAGCCTTGGACAAGAGTGTCCTCAGAGGACAAGGTACAAGGAGCATGCAGGAAGGGATATGCTGGGCCAACACTGTGGTACTCTGCTGTCTGGCTGCTGCAGCTTTTTGTGAGCCAGCTGCTTTTTTTTTTTTTTTTCCTTTTGCATTGATTTGTGGAAGTAACAGAACAGGAACTGCAGTGGAGTTAGAGGTGGTTTCCACAGAGTAGCTTTAGAAACATATACCCCTTATTTACAGGCCTTGAGTGAGATGTGGGCTCTGTCCTTAGCAACAAGACCCTCAGGGCTGCCAGCCCTGCACTCTGCAGGATACTGTAAGGCTGAGTCCTTGCAGCCAGGCAAGGAAATGATTCCTTCTCCTCTCCCAAGCGTGGGCATTATTTGTATTAGTGTTAATGATTTGTGTTGTGTTTGCTAAATAACCAAGGTGAGAAACCGTCCTGGCCTTGGGAGTTGTATTCCAAACCCATCACGTGAGTGGGGCCTGAAGACACCATCACCACCAGTGAGGATGGGAAGAGGGGGAATTGCAGGCAAATGCAGCAAGCAGAAGATGACAGTATGTTTCCAATGGCAGAGGGGATCTGGGTGAGTGGCCAGGCCCTGCTGAGGGCAAGCAGTGCTTTGCTGGGTCCTATACCCATGGTGGGGTTTTGGGACCCCCACCAAAGAAGCCCCACATTTGTACAGCTCCAAAAACACCTCCTGGGATGTTCTCCCCATGGAGAGGTTCACTTTGCTTATTAAAAAATCACTGCCTGAAGAAAGGCAAGCTGTCTACTTCACCATCTGACACAGTGAAGCAGGAGCACTGGGAATGGAGGAAGAGGAAAGCTTGGAGCTTGGGCTGCCGTGACGAATGCCTGCCACTTCCTGAGCTGGGATGTTCTCTGGGCTGACCTGCAGAGGGTTTGGATGCTGGATATGCTCTTTTCCCTCACTGTACCTGGGAGCGGGATGAGATGCTTATTCAGCCTGCACGGCCAGGGCCTGCTGGGAATGTCAGGCTGCTGAGATCTGCAAAGCCCCCAGGGACACACGGCCTCCCCCGAGACCTAAGGCAGGACCCTGGGGCAAGATGGATCTCAGCTCAGCACTCTGTGTGGCTAGTGGAAGCAGCAGCAGGAAGGCATGACCCCCCTCCCACCCCAGATGTCTCAGCACCCCTGAGATGTTTTCCATCGTGAAAAATGTCAGTGATATTAAAAAGATTATATCTATCCATAATACTTGAAGGGCTGTCAGTGATTAAAATGGAAGGCAGAGGCCGAGAGAGCGGGGGTGGCATTGAAATGATCGAGAGACATGACTTATTTTGTCATGTCATCTGATGCCTCCCTCTCTTCCCCCAGCCAGGCTCCGGGAGCTGTTCAGAGCAGGGGAAGAACCCGCTCCAAATTTAGATCCTAGCAAAATAAAGAAATAAAAAAATAATTTAAAGAACCCAAATTGCGAGTGTGGCCTTGGGTAGCAGAGAGGGAGCTGTGTGGTGGGGAGGGTCGACATCCCTCGGAGCTTCTTCCGCGCCCGGGGACGTGGATTTCTGTCTAAAAATAATGGGGGGGTGGGGGGGAGGGAGGAGGGAAAAAAAGAAAAAGGAATACAGGCGCGCAGGCAGCAGCGAGCAGCGCCTGGCTGGCTGCCAGAGAAGGGGCAGTGACTGAGCATTTACAGCATCCCCGCCTCCCGCATGCGGCGGGGCAGGGGCTCGGCGCCGCATCCCCCGCGGCCGGTACCGCACCGCGCTGCGCCGCACCGCACCGGGGGGGCCTGAGCGCCTCTGCCGGTGCCCGGGCGGCCCCGAAGGGGTTAAGCCGGGACCTGCCGCCGGGACCTGCCCAGCCAGCCCGGCAACTCGGCGGCGCGCAGCAGGAGCGGGCGGCTGCGGCCGCCTCCAGCCCGCGCTCACCGGCGGCGGCACCGGCGGCAGCACCGCGCAGGTAAGCGGGGCTGCGCGCCCCTGGCACCGGACTGCGGTGGGGGGGAGGAGGAGGAAGGTTCTGGACGCTGGAGCATCGCGGGCTGCGGGGGATGCCGGGCCCCGGCGGGCAGCCCGGTGCCGGGACGCCTCCCGGGCCAGGCTCGGGCCCCAGCTGCGGCTGCGGGAGCGGGAGCCGGGCCGGTGCGGGAGCCGGCGGCGCGGCGGAGGGCGCTGCGGGGGCCGCTCCGTGCTGTTTCCCCCATAGCAGTCGCTGCTCTTCTCAGCCCTGCACTTGATTAAGGATGGAGCTGTAAATCCCCCTCCCGGCCCCCCTCCCCTCGCCGGCCCCTTTTGCCCCCCCTGCATCCCCCCCGTCCCTGCCGCTCCCCTTCCAGGCCGTTCCTCCTCGCCCCCTCGCCGCTCCCGCGTTGCCCTCGCAGCCCCCCGCGCCGGCCCGCGGGCGATGGGGACCTAGCCCCGCAGCCGTGTCCTTCTCCCACCTGGCCACTCTTGGTCAAGGTCACTGCAGTAATTCCATATGAGCTGCTGGGTGCTGCCGCCTTATCTCCCACACGGCTTCTGTTTCACTCCCTTTATATTCCAGGGAGGGGGGGGATGATACTGTGTTTGATAAACCCACAGCTCTAAACGCCGCTGGCAGCTCCAGCCTTGATTACGTTCCTCTCATCCCTGCCCCAGCCCATGTTTCCCATCTCTTTCCATTCAGAATTCCCAGGCCATCTCATGGTGGGCAAAGTCCAGCTGAGGTCAGGTTTCTGGCCAGGATGAGCAATGCCGGGAGCCTGTCACTGGACCTTGGGGTTTGTCCAGTTAGGAAACCTGTTGGAGGCAGAAGGAACCATCCTGCCTCCTCGGACTGCCAATGTGTTTGCTGGTGCTTTCCAGGCTGGTGGCACCTTTGGAGAATGTGACTTTATCTCCACCTGGGTGTTGGTGGAAAGCAGAGCATGGAGCCAAGTCCTGGAGGACTTTGCTGTGTTGCTGCCCTTGTCCCGGAGGCGTTTCCGTGCCAGGCGGGCAGTGGCCTGGCCGACTGCACCATGGGCTCTCCCGGCGGCATCCAAAGGCCACGCTGACAGGCTGCATTGCGAAAGGAATCGGTGCAGGGAACTGACTCGAGAGAAACTTTGTCCACCCGCGAGCGTGGCGGTGCCAGGCTCCTCTCTGACTCA